GCACTCTGTGTCTGCAAAAAAAATCTCTGTATCTTGTCAGCCCTGTGGCCTTCAGACTGATGGTAACTGCATGGGGGGTACAGAGAATCTGAACCAAGCTAGCAGATTAGGAAAAAGTAGGATTGAAGACAGAGCAGACTGTCTGGAAGAACAGACTGTTGTTGCTCATTTTATGTTAAGCACTGTTGCTACCCACTATGAAGCATTAGCTTAATTAACTCGGGGACAAATTCTTCTGTCTTGGCAAAGTCCATCAACATCCAAGGAGTATTTCGTCCGTGTTATAAATATGAAAATGAAATGAAGATTTATTTGGGTACAATCTAATCATGGAAAAGCCTGTCTCAGAGATGAATGTACTAACAACTTTAGATAGACAAATGGGTACTCTACCCTTTCATTGTTTCTGATATGAGGCTAAATTGACTCGGGAGCCTCTTTGTGTTACCTTTGCTTCTCAAAGGTGAGTGACATCCTATGATTAAAAGCAAAATAACCCAAGTACTTTTGCAAGTCTTTAAAAACAAACAAAAAAACCCAACAGACTTGTCAGGCTTTTATTACTTTCTGGTGTTATCTTCTATTGAAATTCCTAGTCTGATGATTTTAGATGGTGCAGTTTCATCATGGGACTCCAGTTCCTCTGCTGTCATGTGTTCCTTTATGGTTGGGATTTTTCTGGACTTATGGCATTAAGATTATCCTAATGATAGAATCAGAGCACATGGTTTTCCTTATTTACGCAGTGTGATTCTACTCTTTGCTCTCAATGTTATTTATCATGGTTAGTTTGGTCTGATACTCTATCTCCAAAAGTAGGCAATGACTAATGCTTCCAAGGAAGGAAGGATAACAGAACCTCAGGCAGCCACAGCTGAAGTTGGTATAGTTCTTGTCTTTGATGTTATTCATCCTATTACTCTTCCCATGATAAGTTTCCATTCTTGAGAAAATGGTCAAATGGTAGCATCCATCACCTCACTAAAGGTTGCTGAAAAATTGAAGAGAGTTCAGAGTAAGTATATAGGAGTGAATCAAGAGAAGTCTGTTCTAACCAGTGAGTTTAATTGATACTTAATTTAAATGTTGTGATTTGATTTCATCAAAGACCTGGATGTGTTCTGTGAGGACCTGCGTGTGGAAGGGGGGTAGGAGTGTAGCAAAAACCAGTGCTTGGAGGTGGAGCTAGCTAAATTTAAGCCAGACATAAAGGAGAATCCATAATATTGGCGCTTGATTGCTTGCCCATATAGTTTACTGAGTGCAGCAGTGGATTCTCCATTACATGCTTTTTTTCAGAAAGATTCAATCCCCTGCATTGCATTGCTTGGGACCTTTTACCCTAGGCACAAAGTCACATGCCCTTAAAAGAAGAAAAGTGTTGGGGAGAGATCAGAACAAACCCAGAAGTTCAGCTTCAGCTGTTAAAAAGAGATCTATTCATTTTCACTTTTTATGATCTTGTGTAGTTAGGCTAAATTTAATTGAGGCTGGGGAGCTGGGGCTGGAAGAGATCAGGAAAAGGGAACTTGTTGAAAACATTGTCAAGGCACATATAGCAAAAACGAGTGACAGCAAATGCATGACAGAAAATGAGAGGAGGAGAAAGAGGAAGAGAAAAGGCTAACGGGAAACAATTAGAAAACCCCACCGCCACTGACACAAATGTGTTAGAGGGTAGCCAAGATGAAGCTGCATGCCAGCCTACAGTTAGCAACTGAGTTACTGCAGTGTGGTCTTATATTCCCAAACTGCCCATAAGAGAACTGCTCTTTAAGCTCGTTCATGAGATGCCACAGTGTCATCAACTGTCCCAGCACTGTGTGGCCTGGCTGCTGGAGCAGATAGCCCTGGTTTATGCATCTCTCAGCCCATCCCTGCCTCGTGGCAGACCGTAAGGGGACCAAGGCGTGTTGCCTGTGAGGTGGCTAAGGACAAATAAGGAGCTGCCAGAAGGGGTGATGATAATCTTGCTAGTGCTTTTTGTTTTGAATCAGTGTGGAGGTAACGCCTGTGCTCTGAAGGAGCTTTGTGCAGTGGGATGGTCTTTCGCATGAAATAGCAAACCAGGGGCTGAAAACTTGTCAGAATAAAACTCCAAGATGCTTGTAGCAATGGGCAAGATACAGCGATCTTTAAATATAATAAGAGAGCAAAGTGTCCTGTTTAACTCTTAAGGCTGAGTGCCCACACTGCCTTCTGCTCTTAAGCCTAGATAGTTGCCTGAGACTTATTGTCATGTGTTACATTTTTGAATGATGTGAGAGGAAGAGGTGGCCAGGTAGGTGAATTTTAGTGTTTTGGTGGTGTTTTCTGTGTCTGGTGAGGCTGGTGTTGGTAATGAGAAATACCAGGCAGTGGGAGCGCAGTCCATCCTGCCTGTCGTGGCTGGTTTTCTCTACAGCCCTGCGGGGCAGACTTGCCTTTCACTTCTTCCTTTCAGAATGATGCTCTGCTCTGTCAGTGTGAAGTCAGCTGGCAGCCGTGTTTGAGAGGGTGGTAAGATCTGTCCTTGCACCTTGGCCTTGGATGCTCGTCTGTCTGCAGGGTGCTCCTGCCACAGTCTTCATTTGTAGCCAGCCCCTCCATGCTGGTCCCAGTGGTTCCTTTCACTGGTATCACATGTCCAATGCAATGGGCTCATCCTTCAGCAGAAGGGATTGCAAAGTCTGTGACCTTCAGCAGCCACACTGCCTGGTGGGGAAGTGCTGAGGCATGTGGCAGTTCCTCTGGCACACAAAGAGCAGTGGAGGTAGAAGAGGACCACAAACCGCCCGTCTCCTAGTTTTGGGACAGACATGAGGACTGGCTTTTCTTTGCAGTCTTTAAGTACAATTGAATCCTCCAGTAAGAAGGTTGTTACCTGGAGGTAACTTACTGGGCTGGAAGAGGCACACACTGTATACGTCAGTTTTAACAAGCACTGCTGATAGCTGGAGGTACCATTTCCACCTTGCCACATGGAGACCTTGCTCCTTCCCCACCTCTGTCCCCACTGACTCAGCACTACTGTCTAATAGCAGATTGCTAGGACAAGGCTGTCCATATCAGAATCCATCAGACTACCTTCTCTGTTCTATATCCAAAAGCCTTATCTGCTTGTTCAATACAAGACTCACCTGATTTTTCTCCACCATAAAGCTTATAGAACTGAGATGCTTTGCAAGGCAGGATGAGCTGGCAAACCAGATCTTCACCCAAGTCCCAATTACTTGGTCCTGACATTTCCAGTAACATCTGGTCTCAGACTACGAGAAAGGGGAAACAAAAGGGATCTCTACTTGTTTGTTTTTCTCTAGACAGACTTACGTTGTCAAATGTGCTTTTCTCCTGCCTAAATATTCCGTGTAATATAGGGGACAGTTGCTTTTTTTCTGAGAACATGTGTGCGTGGAAATGTTAGCTTTGTGGCACCATGAGTATGCCCAGGTTGATGGGACATGCTCTTGTAGATGCATTGCTGCTTATTATCAGCGAGAAGGCATTTGGTCTCCATGTTTGACGGTTGGTGGCAAAGGTGATGATATCAGTCATGCACCTGCTTGCAGGTTTTAAGCACTGACCTTTATAGCTGTCTACACGTGGCTATACTTTTCAGCTTTGGAAATGCCTTCTCTTGAGACATTCAAATAGATGGCTGTGTGCCTGGCCGCAGAGCTGTATCAGAATAGTTTGAGAGCTGTAGAGCTGTGAGGCTTGGTAATGATTTCAGTCTGAGGGGGTGTCCACCAGCCAGAGGCCGCCCTTCATCTGCCCTCATTTGTTTTCCCAATCTGACCTCAGAGAGCTGTGTGCACCCACTGGTAAATCCCGGTGCTGCTCTGCTCAGGCAGCAGTAAGAGTTTCTCTTTGTAAGTCCGGTGGTGCCTTTGCTTTGCCCGACTGGAGCTGCCCAGCTGGGACTGCCTCTGTGCAACAGCAGTCAGCTAATGTCTGCCCAAGCCCAGTGCTCTCTCTTGCACCAATCCTTTTCCAAGCTTTCTGATGTAAAGAAATCTTTCCAGGTCAAGTCCCAGCTGCTTCTGGTTTCCAGAACCCTGAGGTGTGCTGACACCAAAGCAGAGCATGGACAGACACTTGAGGGCTCCAAAATTAGCAGTAGCTTTTGTCCATGCAGGGTCTTCACTTCCTTACTGCAGCTCAGAACCTGCGTAGGGAGGTAACGTGGTGCTGCTGTAGGACCATTGCTGCTACCCAACAGCTATGGCTGGTGTGTGGTGGAGAGCGCTTGTTTGTTGCGGTTCAGCCCATTATGAACAGGTTTTCTTTATGGGAAACATTTTCAGCAGCGTCTGAGTCCAGTTCTCAAAAGTGATGTAGGCTGTTAAGAGACCAAAGCCAAGATCTTCATAAATAAGTAATGGTTTGGGCTGCCTTTGTTTTCTGTTACACAAGTGGAGATGTCTAAAAGGAGCCTGGTTGTCAGTGGTTGTGGAATTCTGGCATTTTTTCAAAATTGACGTGCTTTTAAAATACCTTAATCTGGGCATTCAGAAATGGAGGCATCAAGGAAGATTAGCTGCTTTTGAAATCCTTTTTCTTTAAAGTTTAAGTGAAAGACAGTGGAATTTGGGGCCATAAATGTCATGTTGAGAAATGCTAAAGGTTATATTTTGGAAGCGTGTGTCTGCCCACCTGTAATGGCACTTGTTCCCAGAGCAACCGCGCTGCTGTACATTAATGTACTCACCAAATCCTAGCAGGAGGAAGTCAAATCTATGACTGTCTTGCTGAACAGGCAACAGGAGTGATAAGCTTCTCTGGTGCATTGGTCTGCCTCAACTTCAACAGTTTGAAGAGGAAAATAACAACACTTTAGCAGACACCAGAACAAACTGATCAGTGATTTCAACCAGCTGGGCAAAGAAAGACAAGTTTGTATCTGAATTCTCATGAAATGGTTTTGTGGTTGCAATTTAGTAAGTCATCTAGGGGGTTTACAGCTGCTGGTCCCCCAGCCTGAATTCCTAATGTACGTGCGGTTCTTGTTTTCCTCTCAGATTTGAACCATGTCCCACCCGTCCTGGCTGCCGCCCAAGAGTACCAACGAGCCTGTTGGTCACGTTACAGCAAGGATGGAGACCACTCATGCCTTTGGGACTCCCAGCATCTCCGTGTCCACCCAACAGACGCCAAAGAAGTTTGCACCCGTTGTTGCCCCCAAACCAAAGTACAACCCATACAAGCAACCAGGAGGTGATGGTGAGTATGTTTGTGGGGTTTTTTTGTTTGTTTGTTTCATTGGTGTGTGGTTTTTTTTTTTTTAGGAAGGATCCACAGAAGTCGTATTCAGGGATATTGACCTCTAACACAAACTGTGTTTGACAAACTCTTGGTTCATGAGTTTGTGGGATCAAATCAATCAATAAGAATGTGAAAGAACCTTGTACCCTCTGGCAAGCTGTCCTCTTGAATGGTGCAGGGCTAGGGGAGAGCAGGGGGACAGCAGTTCCTTTGTTTTTATTGTAAGCAAGTCTGATATTTTTCCAGGAGTTTTGCTTGTTTCATGTCTGCCTGTACACATCAATCCAAGAAGCTGGAGCTTGAACACCCTTTTCAGTGTTGTTTTTCTTTTGCACCAGCACAATGGGACTTCTCTACAAACATGGGACTGAGCTGGGGATGTGGTAGAGATGGATGGATTTGGCAGAGTGTGTCTCAACATGTTTTGTCTCTTGCCTGTTGGTTTGATTCAGTTTTACTGTTTCTCCTCTGTTGTGGCAGGCTCTTGAATATGAGGTGAATTAGTGGCATAACTATGTAGATATTTATGCGACCATTGCAGTAGCCTCTGAAGATGTTCTGTCAGTGGAACAAAAGCTTTCCAGTCACCGTGCACTGGCCTCACTTTGTCTCCTGCTTTTAAAGTCCAACTCTCTTCATGCAGTTGAGCAGCAAGTGTAGGAGTTGGGTTCCTGTTCTGTAGACACATGGAAAAAGGGATAAACTTGGGTATTGTACTCAAGACTTGGCTCCATTGTACTCAAGAAAATTGCCAAATCAGCTTTTGATTTTCAGTTGTGGCTGTTCTTCTTTGTACCATCTTCACTTTTCCCTCTTTTGTATTGAGTGTAATAAGGCAAAAGTTGTCTGTAATTTTTTTCCCCTTTTTCTACTTTTTTCAGAATGTGTGCAGGAAGGCTACATGATAATGGAAAGGAGAAAGAAAAACAGCAATATATTAAATCTCTCATTTAAGCAATTTTCTAAAGTTAAGGACATCTAGTAGGAAGTTGGAGAAGACTCACTAGTGTTTCATTTTTTTTTTTCCTCTGCCACTCTTAACTTCAGAGAATTCGTAACGAAAAAAGAAAATGTGTTGGAGGGGAAAACTCAGTCATATGCACCTGTTCTGTTGCCTTCAGTAACAAAACATTAGCAAGGAAGATGGAGGGAAAGACATTTGGAATTAAAAAAAGTAAAAATAATCCATTTCTGAATTGCGATGGAAATGTCACTTTCAAGTCAAGTGGGAAATTTTTATTTTTTAAATTCTTCTACAATTTAAGATAATAATGAAAAGTGACACTTTGGTTCCTCAGGAAAACTGTTGTTGATCAGCCAGAAATGTCACTATGCTTTAATTGTTGATGCTTTAATTGCTATAGATCTGATTATAAGTGACTCAGGAACATCCCAACAACCTTCTAAAAAATTCTTTGCTCCTTGGAGCTGGGGGAAAGAGATGTCCTCTAAGCAGCACCCCGTACTGCAGACTGAGGAAGGTAGATGAGCCTCACCAGCATTTCTTGAGCAATGCACAGAATGCAGTCCTGCAAGCATGTGAACATTGCTGGGTCTGATGGAAACGGAGACATTTGGGGAACTTATGGAGGGCCTCTGCAGATTCTGGACTTTTAGAGATGCCATCATCATCTGATGGGCTTGCAAGAAATAAGGGATAGTGGAGACTTGATCAGGGATTGGCTTAGTGATGTGACAGTGTACCAGCAGCTTAGGCTAATCCATTTTCAGAAGGTGACACACTGCTGGTCAGTGTCAGCAGCTGGTGCAAAGCCATTAGCTCGACCATATATAACCCTGAGAACATGAGGCTTCCGGGATCTGGCAGGTGAGGCAAGAAAATATTTAGCCCACCATGCCTCATTCACTTTTTATGGCTCTGTTCTCTCCTCCAGGCTCCCTGCTTGTTTCTTCAGTGACCTCCGTTGTTTGACAGAACAGAACTTTGAAATGAGTTAGAAATGGTTAAAAGAAATTAAAGTTAAAAACAAAAGCTGTGACAGGCGGCAGTTTGTAAAGCAGGAGCGTTTTAATGTGCTGGAAGCAGTCAGGGCGTGCGTGGTTTAGACCAGCTAAGTGAGCAATTTTCTCGGTGGTGCTGGTCCCCCTCCTTGCTGTTTGCCACGCTGCCTTGCTGAGACTCGTTTTGAGCTGGATTTGTCAACTCATCAGGGCAGAGACCATGTCTTGCTGTCGCAGGGATCTGTTTGGGGGCCTTGGGGTATGCCTGCAGCAGTAATAATAACAAATAAGAACGCAGCCCTGATTAATGTGCTGCACGGGTTTCTGCCGCCCAGCTAGCTGGAGAAGCTGGTGCAGCTGTGTTTTTATGGACCAGACTTCCACGTGCTGCAGTCTGGTCTTGATTTCTGGAGGATTTAGCACTAGCCTTCCCTGTCGCAGCACCTCATGGAGGATTAACCTTGTTCACCTCAAATGCTCCTTCCCTGGCGCGCTGCTGTGCTGGGGTCTGTACCTCCTGCCCTGGTATAGCCTTTCTCTTTGGAGACAGGGATGAGTTTCTGTGCCGGGGTCTCAGAGCCAAGCAGGAGCTCTGCTGGCATGGCAGCGTGCTGGGGCTCATCTGCTCCCTGCTCTGTCCATATGGTCCCTTGCTGCTGAGCTGTACTTCTGATTCCTCCCTGACACTTTGGGAAGGGAGATGCTTTGCTCCCCCACCTCTCAGCCCTCTGCACATCACAATGCTCAAATCACTGTGTGCTCTTTTTCTGTGAGAGGAGTCGCTGCTGTAAGTCCAACCCAAGGGTACAAACTCTGCTGTTCAACATGGACTCAATCCTGGGAAGTCTTAGCACTGTGATCCCTTCTGGCCTGCACAGCTCCATATTTACCCCACAGATGGAGGAGAGCTGTTTGAGCTAGCAGAATGTGGTTTTGTACAAGAAAAAAAAGTGTCTGTGGGAAGGAAACAGCAAATGAGCTAGGCTGGAAATGAAAATTCGGTATCCAGACATTCAAGCAGTGGCTTTAAAAAAGCCACTGGGTGGGAACATTGGGGTGAAGGATGATTTTTTGATGGAGCATCCTTGGATGTGTTTGCAAACAGGAAAACATCTGTCTATGCTGAGGCAAGATGAGTCCTGAGATGAGTGAGACATCATCCTGCCATGGGTCCTGGCAGTCCGTACCTCTCCTTCCCCTCTCAGTGCTCATGTGTGCTTAGTACTGCGTGCTTCCTCCCCCCATTCCTCAGCAGACCCCATCCAGCAATATGCACAGCAGGTGGTGACTGCAGAGCTGTGCTGTCAGTTCAGGTGGGCTCTCCTTCACTGAGCGTTGAGCTAAGAGTGCAAAGAGAGAGTAGAAGGCTCTTCTCCAGTTTCTTTAAAAGCATTGCCCTTCCTCTTTTCCCTCCCAATTATTTTTCTCCTGCTTTCCAGTTTTTGCACTAAAATTGGTATTTCAGTGCTGGCGGGAGCTCACATGCTCCATGGCATGGGGAGGAGGGCTGGCAGGAGCTCTGAAACGAGTGCTGCTGGGATGCTGCCAGGGCCAGGGCTTGTGAGGCCAGAACTAGGGGTTTTCAAAACCATACTGAAGTCTATTGTCAGCCTTGGATTCTCAGAAAATCCTGACTTGGATCTCCTCGGGTCATTGAATGGCTCGAGTGCAGTGAGAGTGTCAGGCTTTGTGGTGTGATTTGTCTTTGGTTTGCATCCTTTGAGTTTCAAGCTGGTTTTCATAACCTCAGGAGCTCTTTTCCCCCTTGCCCTCCTCTCCCAGTACAATCCGCTGGACATGAAGCAGTGCAAGGAGTAGCGTGGTGCTGATGCAAATCAAGCCCATGGGCTGTGACTGCTGGGAACACCTAGAGAAAGCCAGAAGGGGAACACAGTGGGCACATTGCTGGGGAGGAGCAGTAAGTGACAGTAAAGCCTGTGGATTTGTGGAGAGGGCAATGCACTGAGGAAGGAACATCACCAAGGCCATAGCAGCTAATGGAGCATCTATACCTTGGCATGAAAAATGCCACCTGGCTGAGAAACACGGGTGAAGGCTTCCATCTGTTGCCATTTGCTGTCAAAGACAATGAAGCTTCTTGTTTTCTTGCAATATATGGTTTGAATTTTGGTGGGTCCTCTGTGGAGCCAGCAGTTTGACTCAATTGTCCTTGGCTCTTGAACACAAGAACTGTGGAGATGTGGCACTGAAGGACATAGGTTAGAGGGCATTGTGGGGATGGGACTAGATGATCGTAGAGGTTTTTTTCAATCTAATGACATTATGATTCTATGCCTGTGAGTCCCTTCTAACTCAGGATCTTCTATGATTCTATGATATTTCATTCATGGGCATCTGTTGAGGCATATTCCTGAGACATATGCCACAGTGCCAAACCCTGGCCACAAAAGGATGTGCAGACAACATCCCTCTTATGACAACTGTATAGTTTATGGAATTGCACAACATTTGAGCATTTGTCTTTGTCAGCCTTTTAGAGGCTTTGAGGACAGGCTTTGCAAAATTAGCCATTTGATTTTATTCTGTTGACTCCTCCTAAATTCAATATTAGTTAGTGCTGATGATGCCTTTTCCTTGCGATTGCCAACCGTGGTGAACGTAATACCTGCAGAAACAGTTAAAATGGATTCAATCATAAAATCGTTAAGGTTGGAAAAGACTTTTCAGATCACTTAGTCCCGCTGTCTACTTGCCACCAGAACTGCCCACTAACCTGTGCTCTTTAGTACCACATCTCCACAGTTCTTGAACACCTCCAGGGACTGTGATGCCCCTACCACCCTGGGCAGCCTGTGCCAGTGCCCAGCCACTCTTTTGGAGAAGTTTTTCCTGATATCCAACCTGAACCTCCCCTGGTGCAACTTACAGCCATCACCTCTCATCCTGTCACTGTTACCTGGGAACAGAGGCTGACTCCCGTTCCATCACAACCTCCTGTCAGGGATCTGGAGGGAGCAATAAGGTTTTCCCTGAGC